GTTGTTTTGGGGTGGTGGGTGTTGTTTTGGGGTGCTGAGTGTTGTTTTGGGGTGGTCAGTGTTGGTTTTGGGGTGGTGGGTGTTGTTTTGGGGTGGTGGGTGTTGTTTTGGGGTGTTGTTTTGGGGTGCTGGGGCTCCTGGCACAGGTGGGTGACGGGTCCTTTCTGCAGACTGGTGCTGTCCAGGAGATGAGGTCCAAGGGCGGCCGGGAGCGACAGTGGAGCAACTCCCGTGTGTTGTAGCGTGTGAGTATCAGGCCGTGGCACCCCAGTGTCCCCTCGGAGCCACCACTTGGGCACTCCCATAACCCATCCTCTTGGATTTTGCAGATTCCTGGCTTTTTCAGCCCAAACTTGAACTGCCTGATCCCCCCGCTGGAGGAGAAGCCCACCTTGAGTGCTTTAACCCCGCGGTATTTATGCAGCACCATCCTCACCCAGCTCCCGGTGGCTTTGGGTCATCGTCCCTCTGGAAAATCCCTCCTTCCCAGAGGCACTGGCCGGTGACGTGGGGAGGGAGTGGGGACAGCAGCCCCCATCTCCTGCCCCGCCTGCAAAGGACACAGCCGCCCCCCTGAGACGTGCCAGGAGCTGCCAGGCGCAGCCCACGTGTGCCAAACCCTCCCAGTTTCCCTTTTCCCACTCCCGTGTCTCCCATGGGCTGCATGGTGGTGCCTCAGTTTCCCCAGGGAATCAATTATGGTGCAGAGGCAGATTTGGTGCCTCCCAGAACATCACAGAGGAGCAAAACCAGGATTAAGCCCTGATATTCTGGTGCCAAACCAGAATTAATCCCAAGATGTTCTGGTGTCAGACCAGGATTTGATGTCAAACTGGGATTAAACCCCAATTCTTTGGAGCAGAACCGGGATTAAACCCCGATGTTTTGGTGCCAAACCCGGATCAGACCCCAGTGCTCCGGTGTCTCAGCGTCACCGAGCCCACAGTGCCTCCAGCCGGCATTCCCACCGCCGCCAAACTCCCACCTCCCTCCTTTTTTTAGGATATGTTCTTATTTTTAAGCTCCCAAACCCACCTGAGCAGCCTGGGCAGGACCGTGGTGGGGTCCCCTCCACCCGGGATTGTCCCCGGCCGAGGCCGGACAGGGCCTGACCCGAGAAGGGCTCCGGAATTGAGGCGCGGGTGTACATAGTTTAATTAGCGCCAGGATTAAATATTAAATAGCACGTGCTGGGTGACAGAGCCTTTCCCCTGCCCTGTGCTCCACAGGGAGCCGGGCTTTTCCAGCCCCGTGTCACGCTTGGGTCAGGGGTTTTTGGGACAAACATTCCACTCTGGAGATAAATGCCTTGTGCTGGCCCAAGGGGTGGGTGCACAGGCTGCCCCGGGCTCCTGGAGCAGCCAAATCCCCTGGGGAAAGCCGAGCTGACATCCACAGCAGGCAGAGGCCACGACTTTCTACAGCACAACCAGCCCTGGCTGGGCTGGACTGGGGACCGTGGCTGCACTGACACCCCTTCCTTGGACACCCCAAAACATTCCTCTGACCCACTGTAGAGGGGATTGCACCCCAGGGAAAGAGGGGCTGCACCCTCAGCTCGAGTGGGGCAGCACCAGACCCATCCCAGAATAAAAGCCAAGAGCCAAAACTGGAAGAAAAGGAAAATTTAATCCTTGGACCACTGACAATCCTGGATGGCTGCAAGTCCATACCCACCCTCTGGGGCCCCCCACTGCCCCCCAAGGATGGAAGATCATCAAGAACTCATTAACTCCCACACCCCAATGCCTTCATTAAGGGGGTGCAGCTGCTGCCCATGGCATCCCCAGAAACCCAGGCTGGGGACCACTGGGGCAGAGGGAGCCACCGGGGGGGACAAACCACGACGAGGACCAGGAGCTGAGCACAAAGGTGGCTGCGACCCCCCCCACACACCCAGGCACCCCTCCAGGCCCTGCTCAGGGACCCCAACTTCTCATCCAGACCTTAAAAAGCCACGGGGTGCCCGCTGCTATTTGGGGGAGCCGGGGGGCTGCCCCACGGCGATGCGGCTGACCCGCTCCAGGACATCCTGGGGACACAGCGGGGGCACGGCCTGTGCCAGAGGACACTCCTCCACCAGGCTGTTCATGGGGGTGGGTGGGGGCACTGCCTCCTCCTCGGGGCCCCCAGCGGCCCCCGGGCCCCCCAGCGCTGCCCGCAGGATGGGCAGCACCTTCTTGCGAGTGGCCGCGCTGTTGCCCTGGGCGTAGGCGGCCACGCCGGGCCAGGGGCTCGGCAGCGGCTGCAGGAGCAGGGACGGCGTCGTCGCCTCCTCCAGCGCCCGGCACAGCTGCAGGGGAGCGAGCGTGGGGCTGGGACCTCCCCGGCACCCCCAAAACCGGGAGCTTCTGGGGCGAACCGCAGCTGGGCACTGCCCAGAGATGGCCGAGCCTGGCCCCTAACTCACCGTGCTGCGCAGGGGCTCCTGCCGGCTGTACACCGCCAGCTTCCGGGTGGGCTCGTGGCGCTCGTTAAAGGACACGGTCATGGCCACCAGCCCCGCGTAGCCACGGCCCTGGCAGAAAGCCTCCAGCTCCTGCAGCAAGCCAGGCCGGAGCAGGAATGTCTGCACAGAGGGGAAGGGCCTCGGCATCACCGGGATGTCCCCACAGCGTGCCGCTCCCTGCCTCAGTTTCCCCCTCAGCCCCAAGCCTCACTTCCAGGTCCTCGAAGACGCCACTGATGGCAACGACCACCTCGTCACTGGAGACGACTTTGAGGTCCTTCCGCAGCATCTGCTCTGTCGTCAGCCCTGGGAGGTGGCCGGGGATGAGGCCCAGGGCACCTTCCTGTCCCCAAGGAGGGGCGGACACACCTGGGTGCCGCTGCCCTGGCACACACACCTGTGACATCAAACTTGGCCGCCTGCAGGGCTCCGAACACGGCGTCACGGGCCGGCAGCTCCGGGAACCTCTCCTCAAGCAGGGACATGCAGGCCACGTCCCTGGGTGTCACCTTGCCCGCGGCCGGGCTCAGGTTGATGCAGTCCAGCAGGATGGTGCCTGCAGGGACGAGCGGGGCCGTGTTGTCACCGTGCCGCGGGG